GGCAGGGGGGGGTTAGCCCAAGACGACCAAAGATGGCTCCATGAGGGCCCCCAAACGTCGTCGTCGTCGTCGCCGCCCTCGCCCTCGTCGTCGCGGCAGAAGATTTTGGTCGGCCCCCGCGGCGCTGCCAGACGACGATAATTACACAATGAAATGCTTTTTCTTTGCGCCTAGGCGTTGCCGCGTGGCGAGTTGGATGGCGTCGTGGGTTTTGTTCGGCCCCCGCGGCGTTGTCTCGTGACGGATGCAAGTGTTGTTGCTGTTTTTTGATGCGATCCCTCTCCAAGCGTTGCCGCGCGGCGGGTCGCGGAGCCGCGCTGGCTTTTTCGACCCCCGCGGCGATGCCGCGTGACGAGCTAAGCGGATTCGTGCCTCTTCGCCGGCCCAGGTGTTGCCGCGTGCCGAATGGGGCGCGGTGGATGTTTGTTCGGCCACCGCGGCGCTGCCGCGTGACGCGGCGCGCGTTGCACTGTGCCGCGTCGCGTGTGCATGGGCGGGGGAACGGGGGGGCGCGCGGGCGTGCTGGCGGGCGCGTCGGCGCGCGACTGCGCCACTCCCTGCGCTGCAGCGCGTCTCGTTGCAGCGCGATGCGTTGCGGTGCGCCGCGCGTGCGTGGCATTGCGTCGTGCTGCGTTGCTTGGGCGCAAGAGCGGCGCGGCGCGCGGGCGGGCGGGCGCGCGGAAGGCGGGCGCGCGTGCGAGCGGCCGCGAGAGCGGGCCAGCGACCGCGGGCGCGCGCGCGCGCGCGAGCACGCGGGCCAGCGAACTCGCGAGCGGGCGGACGAGCGGGCGTCGTCGTTGTCGTCGCCGTTGCCGTCGTCGTTGTTGTCCGCGTGGCGGTGGTCGTCGTCGTGCCAGGTGATGCCGCCATAGAAGTCGGCCCAGCACGAGCTGTTGCAACTTTCGCTATCGTTCCCGCAAGTTGGCCACCAATAGTCGTCGCGCATGCAGTAGTCTTAGTCCTCGTCGTCATCATCGCCCCAATCCCAATATTTCTCGGTCGTCGCCCACCACATCTCGGGCTCGGGCTCGGGCTCAGTCTCCGGAGCCTGAGCGGGAGATGCGCGCCTCGATGACCGACGCGCCGAAGTTCTTATAATGCGCACCGCGCAGGCAGCAAGCATAAACGACTCGAGAGGAACAGTCGTGACCCATCGAATCGTACCACCAAGAACTGTCCATGTGAGTCGTCGTCCACCACGCTTGGGCACGGGCTCGGGCTCCGCTCCTGCGCCTGAGCACGATCAGCGCGCCTCCGTGGCTGACGTGCCGATATTTTCATGAGCCGCCCGAAACCAGTCGCATCATAAGCGGCGTAAGAAGAGCAATCGTATCCAGCCGAGACGTGCCGCCAATTGTCCGCGCAGTCCACGCTGATGGTGAACGTGACTCTAACCTTTTCGGTCGTCGTTCACCGCGTCTCAGGCTCGGGCTCGTGCTCCGGCATAGTCAGCTCTCTCCCATCAGGGCATGCTATCTGATCGACGCAAGTGCCAGCATGCGCCGCGTTGACTTTGGCGCAGTTGGCGCGGCACACGCCGTCGTAAGTGCTGAAGTGGTCGCCGCGCGCTGGGTCCGACAAGCCGCTGCGGGGGCGGCCCTGGGTCACGTGCTGCAGGGCGCGTCCGCGGTGGGCGGCGCTCGCCCCTTGGACCGTGCAGGAGATCTCGCCGCTCTTGCCTCGCGGGATGTCAACGTGCGTCCGCGCGCAGACCACCTGCCAGTCGGAAGCATCGACGGCCGTGATCTTCAGCTTGTAGGGGCCGGCGAGCACGATCGGCGGCCGCTCGTCGACGGCGAAACAAAACTCGCTCTCGCCGGCAGGGAGGGAACCACGCTGGCTCTTGCCGAAATGTTTGCACAAGTCTTCCTCGTAGTGGTGAGGGGCTCAGTGCCGCGCCAGCTTGCGCTTCACCCAATCTCCTGTCGGCGATCCTTGAGCAGCATCGCCCTGGTGCTTCCATTCGAAACGCTTCGCGAAAAGGTGCTCGTAAGCACGCGCCTGCAGGCGCTTCAGGCTGAACTCCGTGCTTGTAACATACATCGCATGTGTTTTCTTGCCGCATTTTTCGAACTGCCTGCTGCCGCCGCGTTCGACTATCTCTGCCGCGAAGATGACTTTGCTCTTGCCCTTTCAACCCCAATAATTACTAGCGCCATCAGAAACGAAACAATTTCCGGCATACCCGGGGCAGATCAGCAGAGCTCGGCCCCTGCAAGGAAAGCGACGCACAAATTGCGCAAAACAGTTGCGCACTGACTGCGGCAGAGCTGCTTGACTTGAGCCAGCGCCAGTGCCCCTGAATCTTAAAGGGGGGGGGGGGGGGGGCGAAGATAGCGAATCCGTTAATCGCTGATTGCCAGAGAGCGAACGAGCGGTCTGCTGAACAACCGGCGGGCCGGGCCCCTAACGGCGCGCGGGGGCGCGCCTGGGCAGACCGACTGAAACTTGAAAACCAGCATTCGAGCGCCTGGCGGCGCCCCCCGTCGCGTCGGTGAGAAAGGCTCCACGAGCGCCGCCCCCGCAACAAGGCCACGCGCCAGGAACGCAAGGGCCCGCGCCCGCGGGGGGAGGGGGGGGGACGAGGAACAAGAAGGGGGGGGGGGAGGAGGACGGGAAGGAAGGCGGGATGGAAAGGACGGAGGAAAAGGAAGGCATGCGGGCGCAGACCCGAGCGCCCCAGAAACGCGGGGCCCTGCATGAGGATTCGCGCGCATCAAAGATCATCTGACCATCGCTTGCAAGGTCGCCCTGTGCGCCTGCCAAGGCGCGTCCGGAACCATGGGATCCAGCCCACCAGCTGGCTGCTCCATCTTCCTGTCGTGCCTGCGCCTGTCTCGAAAACGAACTGCAATTTCAGATTTCCCCGCGTCCCAACCCAGTCACATAGTCCTCGTTCTCGAGCCTTCTGCTCGCATGAACGAGTGGACCTTTCGACATATGCTATCCACTGTTCCTCGTGCCTCCTCGGAATCTACATTTTTCGCAACCTTTTGCGACGTGCGCTCGTGGGCGCCAGGCCGTCCTCCACCTTCATCACCCAGCGCGAACATCCATGTGAGACCATCGACGTGACCACCAAATTGAACGGCGTCAACCTCGCTGATAAGAAGGAGTATAGGGCGTGCCGAAACTTGGCAGAATCCCCAGGCTGCCAAGACGCGATTTGACATCTCCGCGCCAAGATAGTCCAAATTAATAGCGCGGCGCAGATACGTTTCGGCTCTTCGTGGTGGAGCAATTTCGACCTGGGAGCCGCCGGCGAGCATGAAACCGCCAGCGTCGTTCAGCACGTTGGTGAGAATGTGTTTTTTCTCGAAGTGACTCGGAACCCGTATCTGGCAGCGGCTGTTTGGAGGCTGTCAAGCATTTTCGCGGCGTCGTGTCTCGTCTGCGCGAATAAATACAAGATGTCAAGTGTTAGCACTGTGGATGCGCAGGCTATGCCGCGCAATCTGTTTTTATGTGGCGCGAGCTATATGGTGCGCGCTGCGTGGTGTAGATACATGCGGCGGGAACAACGTGGTGCAAACTCTGTGGTGCTAGCTGCGTGGTGCCCGCTGCGTGGGGCAGGCTGCGTGGCGTGAGCTGCGCGGCGCGAGCTGCGTGGCGGGGGCAGCGTAGCGCACGCCACGCGGTCGCCGCGCAATGCGCCGTCGATGGACCGCCCGCGGGCAGCGACTGGGCGACGATCCGAGGGGCCCCGGCAGCGCGCGGAGGGCTCGTGCGAGGCGCCCACGGAGCGCCCACGAGCGGCGGCAAGGGGAACACCTGGGGGCTCCACCTGGGGAGCGGCGCTGGTTTGAGCGGGGCGCGCGCGGGCGGTCGTCGTTCGTCTGTTCGTCGTCGTCGCGCAGGCTTCGCTCCTCTGCTCTCTCGCCCTTCTTTCCTTTGCTGCTTGCTTTTCTGCCTTCTCTTTCGGTTCTGCTCCTCCCTCAGAAGCCAATCCCACCAGTACTCTGGGCGTGCGTGGTTTCGGGCGTCCCCTCTTCCAATTCCTCTTCTTCCCCTTCGGGGAGGGGCTTACCCCTCCCCCTTACCCCCTACACCTATCCCTAAACCTGGATGGGGGTGGACGGGGGGGATTCGCGGGTCGTTGGAGCGTCGAGGAAGGCCTCCGCAAGAATGTGCACATCATTGATGTTACGTTGGTTTTGGGCCCATTTTGGCCTCATGGGGTGGGCCGTAAATGACCCCCCGCCTTCCTTGATCGATCTCCTCCGAGATGGCCCCCAAGGCTCCAAAGAATCTCCAAGGAGGGCCCCAAGAGGAGCCCAGGAGGCCCCTAGAGGCGCGAGGCAACAACGACGCTTGAAGAAGACCCCAGGACCGCCAAGAGACCCTCGAGACGGCCGAGGCGGACTCCAAGACACGTTCAAATTGCATCCGAAGAGACTCCGACAGGCATCCAACAGGCCTGTAATCATTATGCTCGCCCTCTCCGTTCTGCTGCTGCTCCTCCCCCTCCTCCTCCTCCTCCTTCGGTTCCTCCTTCCCCAGCCTGTTACTCAACTGCATGCTTCTCCACATCCCGGATAAAAAAAACTCGCCAGAGCTCCGTTCCTGGATGCGTTGGTGGGATGCCGCAACGCGTATCGAGTTGTACCCCGTTTATGCAGTCACTGCTCGGGGGAGAAACCGTCAGCGAAGCTATGGCAACGACGTGCTTGCTGGGGGGAACAGCGCGGTCCTACATTACGTCCACGCGCCAAATGAGTGTAAGCGTCATGCGCACCGTGTCACACTCGTTCGCCACACATGATCAATACTGGCGACGCGTGAGCAGCGGATATGCCTTCACTGACTGACAAGACAACTCGTGAGTGTCTCAGGCTGCAAGCATAGACTGGAATGCGCGGGAGGATTGCCAGCGATACGGGAATATAGCAGGGTAGGCTTCGTTGGTTACTCAAAGAGGAATGGCGTAACACAATGCGACACATTCGATGGGAAGCCAACGGGATGCGACCGACAAACAAGCCGCAGCAACTATTCGCGTCCTCGAAGCCAATGTTTGCGCACGACTCGCACATGTCCCACGACTTGCGGTTCCCGTACATTGGGCTTCCAACAGGGAGCACCTTTGCCATCCGATGCCGACTCTGTTCGCAATGCAAGAAATCACATATGGACTGGACACCCGAAGCCTTCCCATATCCACTCGATAAGACATGTGAGACATGTGATATGCGGCCATTTCACTTCCACTACGCTTACGACCTACGACAGCACTACCCACTGTGACATGCCATCAACTGCTTGCTTACATTAGTGATGGAGACGGCTTAAAGGACACGAGTACGTCCAAGAGCCCCAAACACATGCAACAACAAACTGTACTCTAATACACTTGATTCGACTCATCCGCCTGCAAATAGAGGAACCAGGTGCCGCTGCAAGATTCGACACAATCTATCTTTTTACATGGGACCTCTCAGTCCCTCCTAGACGCCGCCAAGAAGCCCCCAGAAAGCCTCTGGAGGCCCCCAAGAAGCCTCCCAAGGTTCACCCAAAATGCCACCCAAATGCCCACCAGAGGCCCCCGACAGCGCTCCGAAGAAATCCCGACAAGCATCCCCTCCGCCCCCTGCTTCTCACCCACCTCCTCCTGTTCCTCCGCCTTGTCTTCATCGTCCTCCACCTGCTCATTTTCCTTCTCCACCTCCTTCTGCCCCAACTCCCCCTCCTCATCCTCCTCCGCATGCTCTTCCTCATCCTCCCCCTCTTGCTCCACGGCTTCCTCCTCCTGCTCCTCCTGCTCTTCCTCCTCCTCCTCCTCCTCCTCGCGGTTTCCCTCGTCCTCATCCCCCTCCTTCGCATCCTCTTCCTCATCATCCTCATCCTCCTGATCATCCTTCTTCTCATTCTCCCCCCACTCCCCCGCGTGATCTTCCCCTGGTGCCTCGCAACCTTACCTCGACCTCGTCCTTCCCATCCTCCTCCTCTTCCCGCCCCTCCTCCTCCTCCTCCTCCTCCTCCTCCTCCGCGTCTTCTTTCGTCTCCTGTTCCTCCGATTCCCATTCTCCTCGTCCTCTTATTGCTCCTTCCCCCCCCGTCCTCCCCCTGCCCCTGCTCCCCCGCCTAATCCTCCTCCGCATCCTCCTGCTCCCCCTCCTTCTGCTCCACCGCGTCCTCCGCCTCCTCCTCCTCCTCCTTCTCCTCCTCCTCCTCTTCCTCCTCCTCCTCCTCCTCCCACTCTCCCTCCTCCTCCTCCTCCTCCTCCTCCTCCTCCTCCTCCTCCTCCTCCTCTTCCCCCTCCTCCTCGTCGTCCTTGTCGTCGTCTTCAGGGTCGGAGGCACCAGCCGCAAGTCTTTCCCATTCATGTTTGGGGTAGATCAGTTCTGCAGTCGATCCCCTACTCGAACCTTGACTGTCCCAATGCGTTGGAAGTTCGGTTCGTCTCCGGCCTGCCGCGCGAAGGAAGCGGGTCCCGAGGGGAGCGAGTCCCGGACCCCTGGGCTCGCCTCGGGACCCGCCTCTCTGGAGGTGCCCGGGGACACACCAATAAGGAGAAGCAAATCCCAAGTTCGCCCCTATTTCTACATCTCGTATGGATGTGCGTCTTCCCCTCCACTTCCCATATGTTCCCATATCTCTTGGAAGCGGACGATGATTTGTGTCTGTTTCTGTTGCCCTCCCGACTCTCGTCCTGCCGACGAGCTTCTCGCGGCCCCCCATGGCCTGGAAGGGCCAAGGGAGGCCGCAAGCGGCGAAGCACCTCGGGACCAGCTTCCCCCAGGAAACTCCGTTTTTCCTCCCCTGTGGCCCACCCATCCTCCGACATCAAAAAGGGGCCCAAGGACCTACAGAGAGCTAGACACAACTCCCAAGATTCCCAATACTTGTCAATGCTTTCTCGATGTTCGCATTCCCCCTCCGGGAGAGGGAAACAACTACTGTGGACACTCCCCCTCTCCTCCAAATTCAAAGTTTGCACGCGCGGGCAAGACTGCGGTCAACGCGCAACTCGTTCGACCCACCGCCAACATTGATCTTGGGGGGTATCGACAGATGAATGTGGGCACGAATGCTCGCTAATTTCTTCCGAGGCCGGTCCGACATGATTTTTTTTCCAATGCGCGGCCCCATAACCCGCCCGACCCGTGTTTGGATGGTTCTGGGGCCCTGTGACGGGCCCCGGAGGCCCACACCGAGGAACAACCTGCGGCTGGATAGATCACATCGTCCGAGATCTGGGGAACCCCACCCGACCCGAGGGGCAAACATGCTGGGAGGAGGAGGAGGAGGAGGAGGAGGAGGAGTAGGAGGAGGATGAGGAGGAGGAGGAGGAGGAGGAGGAGGAGGAGGAGGAGGGGGAGGGGAAGGAGGAGGAGGAGGAGGAGGAGGAGGAGGGGGAGGAGGAGGGAGCCGTCTCAGAGGGCTATCGACGTGGAATGGGCGCTGCATCGACGAACAACTCGGCGACGGGCCCCGATGGCGACCTGGCACGGTCCTGGGCGGGGCAGGCCATCGGGCCCCCCTCCCCTGACCTTCCAGAGCGCTACAAAATAGTACTCCAGACCTACAGATCTATCTGGACTGCCTCAAACCCCGACAGGAATCAGGACGTCGACGTCCTGGTGCTATGCTTTAGCCCTCCTGGAAGGTCAGGGTCGGCGATGGGTGGGCGATTGGGGGTCGATGCGTCATCTCCCTCTGAGCCACCCCTCGGGCCTCGGGTCCTCACTCGTCTCACCGGCGGCTGCTCGGACGATCCGGGCGCCCCTTGAACGACCCGGGCGAGGCGCAGCCGCCGGAAGGCGCCCCGAGGCTGGGAAGCCGCTGGAAGCAGACGGAGACGCCCTCGGACCTCGAAGCCGGAACGCCCCTCCTCGGACCTCGAAGCAGACGAAGACGCCCTCGGACCTCGCACCGGCCTCTGAGCCTCTCCTGGGGCTCGCTCTGCTCCGAACTCCGCGGCGGGTCCTGCCGTGGCCACGAGGGCGGAGGGCGCCCGCAGCCGACCAAAGACCTGCAAGAGAGTCCCCCCCCCGTTCTCGAAGCTCGAAGCCCTGAGCCGATGTGCAGTAGGAGCTCGGCCACAAGAAACCTCCCACAAGAAACCCCGCCCTAAGATCCCTGGACGCCCACTGACTTCTGGTGCGGGAGCGTCTCGCTTCTCACAGCAAGACCCTCGACACCCAAGACACCCAGGGCACCCTGGAGGCAGGCCAGGTGCTTCTTGGCATGGGCCTCCACTGCGTTTGCCCTGTACCTGTTTCCCTGTAGGCATCACCCCCTCTCTCGAGAGCCCCCGAGAGAACGACCTCCGCCCCCGAGAGAGCCAGGCGCCAGGGGCGCCTGGGGCCTTGCCTCGGGGGGCGCCTCGCCCCAGGGGTGCCTGGCTAGGCCGGGGGCTCGGCGCTGGCAAGACCAGCGAGACCCAAGAAACCCAGGGCACCCTGGAGGCAAGCAGGGTGTCTCTTGGCATGGGTTCCACCACCGTTCAAAGAAGACAAAACGGCACAACACAAACTTTTGGCGCTCCGCGCAGATTTCTCGGATCTGCGCTGGACCCCCTGCCCTTCCTGGCGCGCGCAGCGCGCCAGGGGCGGCGCCAGAGGCGCCGCCAAGGGGGCCCAGCATGGATCCAAGGAATCCGCGCGGAGCGCCACACGTTTTGCTCATGGCTCCTTTTTTCTTCTTCTGTTTCTTCTTCTTCTTCTTCGAACTGTACCCCCTCCTTTGAGCAGGGACCGACCGTCCCGGCATTCCCATAGTCCTACCACGAAGTGTTCTTAGAACCCAGAAATGTTCTAAGAACGAAAACAATGTTCTCAGAACATCAACCCGATGTGTTCAAACAAGACAGACTCCGCCAGAAATGTTCTAAGAACATCTCGTGAAAACCACAAAAGGTTCTTAGAACACTGCTTGGTAGGGCTGTAGGCGAGCCAGGACGCTTGGCCACTGCTTGACTCCTGACGCTGCCCTCGACGCCCCCCCCCCGCCTTTCGGCACGTGGAGCACCACCAGCCGCCGCTGGGCGTGAGGAACCACTGCGCGGGGCCCTCGCGGCGGGTGCCGCTCCCCGCCCGCGGGGCCTCGGAGGCGGCGACCCCCAGGCCTCCACGGCGCCGAGCTCCAGGCGCTGCCGCCCGGTTTCGGGTGATCGATCCTAGGGTTAAATCGGGTCTGTCCCCCTACAGGGGCATCTTCGAGGAAAAATTAAGAACAGCTTCAGAACAAAAGTGCTCAAGGATGATTTTCGAAAAATGCTCAACGAATCGTCTCCAGACTCATTTTTCTACTATTTTGGAATATCCCTCCTGTAGAGGGGACAGGCCCGAATTAATCCTAGGGGAACAAGACTCGGAGGTCCGCGCGGATTTCTCGGATCGGCGCTGGACCCCCCTGGCGGCGCCTCTGGCGCCGCCCCTGGCGCGCGCTCCGCGCGCCAGGGAGGGGGGTCCAACGCCGATCCGAGAAATCCGCGCGGACCTCCGAATTGGAGAAAATCCGCGCGATCCGAGAAATCCGCGCGGAATCCTCCAGCGCCGATCCGAGAAATCCGCGCGATCCGAGAAAGTAGGCTCATGTCACTGTTCGTTCCCCTCAGCAGGCAGATGGGGTCCGGGGCTCCGGTCCAGATCTCAGGGCCCAGCGTCTCGGACAGGTGGCTGCCAGCCGTGGGCCCCAAGCAATGGGCTCCTGCACTGCCGGCGTGCAGGCCCAGGCCTCCGACGACGTGCTCTGGCCAGCGGACGTCGTTCTCCGACTGGGGCCTCCACGGCCCGCTGCCGGGCCCCCGGGGGCCACAGGAGCGGGCCCGGGGCGAGAAGCGGGCTCCGGGGACGGGGGTCGGGCCGCGCGCTGGAGGACTCCGATCGTCGAGGGTCTGGGGATCCTCGGGGCACCAGCCGCAGGGTGCAGGCCACGCGGCGCCCACCACAGACAGAGCACCCTCAGAAGAAGGGGCGAGTGCACAAACACACGAAGGTCGTCGAAGGTCGTCGAAGGTCTGGGGATCTGCAGGGCACCCGCCGCAGGGTGCAAGCGCCACGCGGCACCCACCACGGACAGGGCAGCCTATCAGAAGAGGGGGCAAGTGCACAAGCACGTGAGGTTCAGAGATCTGCTCCAGCCCTCCCCCCTCGGGGGGGGGGGGCGAGGGGGGAGAGAGGGCTGCGGAGGGCCGGGGAAAGCCCTCAGATCGGGTGTTGCTAGAAGTACCCCTGACCCAAGGTACCCCCAGGATCCTCGGGGTGGCCCAGGAGGCCTCCAGGGCACCCCTCACGAGGCCCAGGGGACCCCAGGGGTTCCAAAATGGAGCGAAAAGCTCGGGGCACCCTGGGCCAGGGGCACTTCTAGCAACACCCGATCAGAGGGCGACGCGCTGCGGGCTGTGCCGGAGCAGGCTCGGGGCTCTGGCAGCGCGTGCCCGAAACAGGGGCACGCGCCGCTCGCGCCTCGCGCGCTTCGCGGAGGCCCGGGGGCGCTGGCGCCGCCCATCCGGGGGAGAAGGGAAGGTTACTTCAAGGGGACCCAGGGACACGCACGCAAGTCAATAGACACGAATCCCAGGACTCCCCTATTTTCCCAGATTGCCTGGGCTTTCGTCTTCCCCCCCACCTCCCACATTTTCCAATCTTTTCCTGGGGGCGTTTTCTTCTGGGAGGAAGACGAGGAGGATGAGGATGAGCAGGCGCGAGTCGCGAATAGCTTAGCGCCCCCGTGGCGGTCCTTGCCGAAAAAGAGGTGTAGGAAAAAAGGTACTTAACTACGTGCAATGCCCAGCAGCCCATGCTGTCCAAAGCCGACCGCGGGCGCTCTGGGTCAGGCGACTTCTGCCCCGAGTGGACACCGTCCGCGGCTACATCGACAATGCCTCCTGTCCAAAATGGACAGGGATTACTGTCGGTCCTGGTCCCCAGTCTTTCCGTACAGTGGAGGCCAGTCCAAAAGTCACCTTCCACAAGAAACCCAACCCTGAGACCCCAGGACGTCCAATGATTTTTGGTGTGGGATCGTCACGCCTTCCGCAGCAAAACCATCGAAGCCCAGGAAACCCAGGGCACCCTGCAGGCAAGCAAGGTGTTTCTTGGCATGGGCCTCCACTGTAATTACCAATCTTGATCCTACCGATCAGTAAAATAAGCAATACCGTGGATTGCAGCCCGATAGTCGTTGGCACCATTGCTATCGTCGGAACGCCGAAGAAAGCGCAACGGGCTTCGCGCAACGCTTGCACACGCATGTGAGAGGAGGGGCCCCCTCCCTCCCTCACCGACTGGCCACAACTGGGGGGAGATGCGTTCCGATTCCCATGGGGAACCTGTCGTATCGACGGTCCCTTGAGGGAGTGGCGTGGAAGCCGATGGGCTCACCAAGGGGGCAAGGACCGCACTTGCCCCAGTGGTCGCTGGTCTCCCACCATCCCTTCCCCTCCCGCCCCGCTCCTCCTCCTACTCCTCCTCCTGCTCCTCGGCCCGCGCCCCCCTCACCTTCGGATCAGGACACATCGGGATCTCTGACACCCGGCGGGTCTGAGGGATGCACCCTGCGCCGCGGCCGCCTCGGAGCGGTCCAGAACGGTCCGGGAACGCTCCCTCGAACGCCGTGGAGCGAATTCTTCCGGTTCTGGACCCGATTCAACCCCCTGAGCGACATGTACGTTCGAACAGTCGGTGCCCCCGGCTCGAATGGGCCAAACAACTGCACCCGCACGCTGTTCGACTTTGTGGTGAGGACGGAATTCGCCAGCTATCTGATCGTCGAGTCTTTCGTGCTCGTCTGAGCCGCGACGACGCGCCTTAGGGCGTATGGTACTCCTTTCCTTTCCTTTCCTCCCCCCCTCTCCCTACCTCTCCAGGTGGAGGAGGAGGACGTCGACGAAACTGAGGACGAGGACGAGGACGAGGACGCCGGCGGCGGCAGCGGCCGCCTCGGACGGCTGCCCCGGCGGCGGCGGCTGGCTGGGGCCGCTGGGCTGCGCCGGCAGCTCCTGTGCCGCGGGGCTCCGCCCCCGCCGATGCCATCGGGGCCGTCCAAGAGACAGCAACTTAACTAAAACAGGGCTAGGATCGGGATAAATCGCTCCAGAGCGTTCTGGAGCGCTCTCAGAGCGTTCCGGAACGCTCTGGAGCAGCCGCGGCGCCCAATACATCCTCCAAAGCCGCCGATTCTCAGAGATTTCGAATTATCCCGATCCGATTTTGTCCCGATCTTCGCGTCGTTTGAGGGGCTCCGCCACCGCCGATGCCATCGGGGCCGTCCAAAAAACAGCAACTTAACTCGGCCAGGAACAACTCGGCCAAACGGAACTCGGCCAACTCAACTCGGAGAGGGTGAATGCGGACGGCTGCCGTCGGTCGGGCTGAACTCGGCCGAGCTGAATCTGGCCCGGGCAGGACTCAGTGCCCGAGTTCAGCTGGCCGAGCTCAGCCTGGCTGAGTTTCGCCTGGCCGAGGCTCCTCCTTGTCCAGGACGGGGCGGGGAAGCGCCCAAGCCGTGAGCTGGCAAGTCATGACCCGAGAAGCGCGCGCAGACGGGCGGAGGGTCAAAGGACGCATCGAAAGAAGAAGACGGGGGCCGTGAAATCCCGGGCCATGTCGTGGCCCTGGCCATGACATCCCTTCGGGAAGCAAGCAATTACGTAAGCATAAAGAACTCTGAGGTCCGTGCGGTTTTCTTGGATCGGCGCTGGAGCCCCCTGGCGGCGTTGGATCGCGCCAAGGTCGGCGTCTTCGTCGCCGCCGCCGCCGTCGTCATCGTCGTCGTCGGCGCCGCCGCCGCCGTCGTTCGTCGTCGTCGCCGCCACCGTCGCCGTCGCCGCCGCCGCCGTCGTCGACATATCGCTTCTGGGACCCCCTGGCGGCGCCTCTAGCGCCGCCACTGGCGCGCTCCGCGCGCCAGGGAGGGGGGTCCAGCGCGATCCAAGAAATCTGCGCGGACCTCCGAGCTTCTATGTTCATGCCCCTTGCTTGTTTCCCTGTACACTAGGAGCTCGACCACAAGAAACCTGCCAGAATAAACCCAACCCGGAGACCCCAGGGCGTCCAGGGACTCTTGGTGTCGGAGCGCCGCGCGTTCCACCGTAGAACCGTCGAGACCCTGGGCACCAAAAGAAGGCAAGCAGGGCGCTTCTTGGCAGGGGGCTTCCACGGTGCGTGTTCCCCTGCAGGCGTCGCCCCCCTCTGGGGCGCCCCCGAGCGAACGACCCCTCCGCCCCCGCGAGAGGAAGGCCCCGGGAGGCGCCTGGGGCCTTGTCCTGGGGGGCGGGAGAGGCGCCTCGCCCCAGGGGCCTCCGGCCAGGCCAGGGGGCTCGGCGCTGGCCAGACGCCTCGAGCGGACCCGACCGCGGCCACACGGAGGCCCACAACGGGCCTCCCCCCCCACAGGCCTGTCTCGTCGGCGGGCCCCAGCCATTTACACCACCACCTCCCCATTCCCCCACCCTCCTCCACCCTCATCTTCCTCTTCTCTTTCTCCTGGGAGGGGGAGGGGGTGAGGGAGGTGGTGGAGACCATTGGGCCCCGAATTGCCGGCAACGGAGCGAAGGCACGGACCCTCCGTGGACGACTCCGGCGAACAACCATCAGCCCCTCTTGGGGAACAGACTTGCACTTCCGCTGGCTTCCGCCGTCCACTCCCCGGCCTTCCGCTGGCGAGACCGCCCTCGTCTACAGTCGGGCCGCTGAAAGAAGGAACGCTAAGGAACGAAGCCCCTTCTTGGCCCTGTAAGCGCCTCCGTGCCCCAGGAGGGCAAGAGGAACAGCACTGGAGGAACCTAAGGAACATCGAGCCCCTTCCGAACCCAAACTGTTCCTTATTTCAGCGTCTTGACTGTACTTCCGCCGGAGAAGATATGTCAACTCCAGCGATGCCTCGAAGGCGAAGCCTTGCCTGGAACGCGCCGTGTAACAACAGCCAGGGCGCGACAGAGCCGACTGTGCACCTGCCTCGACGGGGAAGGAGGAGAGCGGCGACGGAGGAAGATACTGTGGAGGCCAGTCCACAAGTCACCTTCCACAGGAAACCCAACCCTGAGACCCCAGGACGTCCACTGATC